TTTAACAAGCCAAGGCATCATCACATGGTTTAAGGCTGCTTGTGTCATGCACCAAATAAAACTGTAATGCACACTCACAGATAGAATATCAAAATACAAGTGAATATATGACAGAATTTATCACACAGTTGCTTGAGTGGTCTGCGTAAGTGTTTTGTAGATGTTGTGTTGTCAGCTTGAAGAATTAGCTTGTTTTTCCCATCAGTCATACTGTGTTTGTGCTACATTGCTTTTGACAGTCGTGGTATTTGCAAATTAAGGATAATGATCCGAAACGCCTAGCTCTTATTTTCTTATTGAACAGAGAAGTTGTTTAGTGAATAGAGGAACACCAAACTTTATGACATTAATTTAACTGCTACAAATGCTTTTTCCTGAATTAAACATTTTGAGGACGTGGCTTGGCTCTGCATATGTTCTGTTGGTTGTCAGTGCGTCTGAGTATAGCAGCATGAGTCCTCTCTCCTGTACAATGAGCAGCTCAGCTAGTCTCTATCCTGTTTGATCTAGCCTAATCTCACTAAAGTAATCGCTTTCACAGTTGGCCCTCTGGAGTTGCTTCCCTTGGTTTTACTAAGCCTTGCAGCTTTATCTTAACATTTTTTCTTCACCACGAGCATGTTTCTTTGTTTAAACAAGGAGTGAATGGCTTATAGGAAAGTCATATGAGAACTGAATATCAGATTCAGCTCCCATAATCAGCACTGGCTGATTTCAGTGGAATAAATTCACTATTGTCTGCCTTGCTTCATTGCAGAAATTACTTAGTCTTTGATTATTTTTAGTCATTATTAGTTCTATTTTTAATGGTGACCAATGTATCTGTTACTTTTATAGTTTCCATCCTTTGTATTTGTCTGCCCTGCCATCATTTCTTTCACCTATGCTTAATTGTTTCCACTTGCATCTCGTTGTTACCTGTGTTTCGTCACCAATCGCCTCTGTGAGTATATACGGTCCTTTTGACATCTGTGTCTTTGTGTATTGTTATGGATTCTTTGAACACTGCCCTTGGGCCATCTTTTCTGTGACATCTGCATTGTTAAAATTTTGCATTTAACAGGTTAGTGAAAGAGGTTCTGTGGTTCCACAACCCTAAAGCCCTTAGATGAACCTGAGTTTATGCTTGTGCACATATTTACTGGATATAACATCTGTATTTGTCAGCGTTGGAGAGGTTTAAGGCTGGCAACAGAAATGTGGTCACTCCCAGATGAGCTAATCATTGAGAAATGACTTGCCTAATATCAACCCCAGATCCAGCAGACTTTTTAATCTCAAACAGTAAAATTAAAATGGAAACATTGACATTTCCACACAAAATAATTCCAGGTTTTCTTGCTTTATTTGCATTTTTATAGATTTAGGGTTTTACAGTAGATATCTGACTGCAGCAAATTTGCTAACCAGTCAGTGTCATTGCAATTCTTCAGATACATGAAACATTTGTGTGGCACTGGTACATGAGACATATTTACCAAATTCCACAGCATATTTCTCTCCGAGGCTCTTGCCATCTTTTTTTTTTTTTTTTTTTTTTAGCTATGCAGAAGGTTGCAGTGTTTCTACTGGAAATTGTTTATCCTCCAAACAGCCTGCTTAAAATCAATATTTTACCTCCAATCTCCAGTTACTATTCCACTGCTCCTCTTTGTCTACTTTGTGTGTGTCTGTGTCTGTGTGTGCGCAAAGTGTGTGTACAGCTGTGCACAAATGCAAATGATTACAAAGAGCCCTGACACAGACATTGAAATACCTGCTGATATGCTTAGAGTTGATATGATAGTGGATATCATATGCAGTAACCCTGATATTTACCTTCAGAGTTACATTCTTGACATTGTCATGGATTCTGATAATTCCACAAAGGCTTCGGTTCAGTGACATACAGCATTCTAATCGTTTATGTAAGAAACAGTTACTGTCCTGATGTTTAGTGTGAATAACCTGTGAATCTGTGCTGGAGTGCAACAGCACACATGAAGAGTAAAGCCAACAATCACACATTATTTTGAGGTCCAGATGTCAATAATCACATTAACAGCTGTTACCACTTGCTAATGTTTCGTGTTTGTTTCCTTTTGTTTAAAGTCGCGCAGTGTGGACAAGCAGCATGCTGTCATCAACTATGAGCCTGGGACTGATGAACACAAGGTTAAGGATCTGGGCAGTCTGAATGGGGTGAGTACAAACACCAAAATATGCTAAGGACAGGAGTAAGCATCAAGATAAAAGGACTAGAAGAGGATACAGAGTCAAAAAGCAAAGGGAAAAGGGGGAGAAGATGGATGACAGATGGGGAGGAGTAAGATAATAAAAGGATAGAGAGAAATAGAGAGAGAGAGACCAATAGATACAAAGAAACAAAACATTCAATATAGTCAAGTTAAAAGTAGGAGAGATGGAGATGAGGTTAGAGATTGGTTTATTTCTGGAAGTCATTGGGAACTTCTTTTCTGCTGCTAATCAATCACCTTGTCAATCAAGATTCATATCAAGGCTTGGATCAATTTGAATCTAAACCCAATTATGCAAATTGCTGCTTAAGGGCAAACTGTGATGTGAACATGAATTAAGGAGTCAATTTGCCAATAAAACACATCTTTAGGACCTGTTTTCTTACCTTGATTGATTTAAATAACCCTCCCTAAAGGGTTTATGAGAAGACAATGGAAGAAAAAAGCTGTCAGTGTTTTCTGATGCTACTTGATATACACATTGTAAACATGTGAGCTGGCAGAAAGAATGCTATTGTGGAAGATGAAATAAAGAGTAAACATTATAAATTTTTCTTATTGCACGAAGTTTTGTGAATTTTTAATAAGTTTGTTGTAGATGCGTAATGTTTTTGGGTATAAGATAAAAGATGTGTGGACAAAAGCATAATTATTTGCATATTTAGGGTAATGGATAGTGATACCCAAGTTGGAATAGATTAAATTGGTTGATACCAAAATTCGAGCAGTACATTCATCCCAAAATACCACATAACAAACACCATAATTGATGTTAGCATGATGCATGTGAGAATTATGGGGAACACATTTATATTCGTTCGTAATTCTTGGTTTCTCTGTCTCTTTGACTTTGACCTGGTTACACGCAGCTACCACATGGCGTTAGTCATGTGTAATGATTCGTACTCAGTCACAGCCCACCAGATTAGACACATATGCACAATGCCCCTCACATCCTCTCTAGCTCTCAGACAGGAAGCCAGAGTCAGAGCCGCTTCCTGCTGTGTCATTAACCGTCCAGCTTCTTTGATGGGATTTAGAGGAAGTTTTCTCCTGCTGAGTCAGTGGATATACTGAGGTTTGCCACGGTCTAAAAAGCTATGTTTGGACAGTGTCACCATTTACTGTCTTTCTGAAGTCATTTCATAGCTGTGTTGTTGAAATATTTGGATTTCATCTCACTGGAGAGAAGACAGGAATGTTTTATTACAACAGCAGTGCAAGTGTAATAGATTTTCATTGGCTATCCAGGGAAACCTGATCTTTCCCAGAGCTGTACAGTAGAAAAAAGGGTGAAAGGGTTGTGTGGGGATATGAGAAGGAGAGAAATGGAAAGCAAAACTCCAAACAAAACAAAGAAATACAGGATTTCATTTGCTTTGGCATTTGATCCACGCTATCCAGACCAGTCGTAGTTCCTATATAAAAAGCCCTGTTGACTATATGAAAGTTTATTATTGGTGTTTAAATCTGTCGGATTGGTTTATCCTAGCTTCATAATCCTAAAACTGTAAACTGTTAAGGCTGTTTAGACTAGAGCTGTAATCTTAAGTTGATTATTTTATCACTAGAAAATTAATCTGTTGCTATTTTGCTAATCGGTTAATCATTTTATCCATCCATTAGTTTAACCTCTTAACAAGCTAGAGACATAGATGGCTGAGTGATGTATTTGTTTTTGCAAAAATGCTGAACATCATCTGTTTTTAGCTTACTTTATGAATCTGAAGCTTTGTCATGTCCTGTATTGAATGTTATTAACCTGAATATCTTTACATGTTGAATTGTTGGTTAGACCAAGCAAGCTGTCCCTGCTGAGCTTTTGTGATTTATAATGGCTGTATATATATATAAAAAAAAAAAAACCTAAGTAAAAAAATTAAACATTAGAATGTTAATTGTTGATGAAAAGGAAATAAATATAAAGAAAGAAAGATGTCAACCATAGTACTTAAAGTACTAAAGCACGTTTTATTTGGAATTTTTCTGTGACCATTTCTTTAAATAACTGCCTTTTTGTACCCTCTCTCTGCAGACCTTTGTAAACGATGTCCGCATTCAGGAGCAGATGTACATCACTCTAAAGTTAGAGGACAAGCTGAGGTTTGGATATGATATCCTTCACTAATCTGTTCACCCCTCACACAACCAGCAATAGGTTCACCATTTAGAGAACATGCTGAGGAAAATTTTTAATTCTCGCCAAGGTGCCAAACTTGTGTTGTGACCTATAAACATAGTTGAATTCACAACTTGCAGTAGTGTATCAGTTCTTAAACAGTTTGTGTCATGCCCCATCACAGAAGCCAAAACAGCTCATGCCTGACACCCCATAACTTTTATCAATCTATAACAATACATAGGGAATTATGAATGATTTCTTTCAATAGATTAGCATTTTTAGATTATTATGATGATTATTATTATTATTATTATTTTATAATTAAAATAGGAAAAATATTAGAATCATTTAAATTAGTTTTACTTTGTATTTTTTTTAACCTGGTTGTGCAGGTCCTTACCTCCTTTGTGCTTCCCCACCTGTGGGCTTGCATTAGTGTCTGTAATTATGTCATAGTTGTGCTATGGTGACCGGAATTTCCTTAACCTTTCTGTTTCACATACCAACCTGTTTACGGTGGTGAGAGGAGAACTCACTGTGCCTGAGGAGGCTCTAAAGGTGAGGACCTTTGTCCTAACATGATCATGTTTCACAGTTGCATTGTACGACATATATGGCTATTCATTTTATGTGTCCATTTCTTCTTCTCCCTTTAGCATGAAAAGTTCACCATTGGCCTCCAACTCAGCAAGAAACCATCGACTGGTGAAACCGCTAGCACCACAGCCACAACCAAATCTCCCAGTAAGACCCCAACAAAGGCACATAGATCCCCCAGCCACACTAAATCAGGGGAGAGCAAAGTCACGGATGGGGTCACTTCCTCCAAAGAGTCCTCTGCCAAACCTGTGGACACTCACAAAGCTGAGGAGAGGATAGTAGGTAAGAGACAAAACAGAAGTAAATGTGGAAAAGTAAATGAGTCTGCTGTTTCCTTAAATTTACAAATTTCTCTTATGAATAAAGATATCTTCAGTGGAATTTTAATTTTGTGGGGATCCAAAAGTAGCCCTGGGACTGAAATAACAACAAAAGCAATACAAATGTTTAGTAATGGTTTAATGCTGATATTAACAAGTAGACAATGTATGTTCTGGTATATAGTTCTGCAAATACTCTCTAAAACCTCTAGATGTAATACCACAGTTTCAAAAGCAGTTCACTGAATTTTTCACTTTCTACAACCCTGAGAGAGCAGGCTTTATATTCTCATTCAGGCTTCACATTCATGTCATCATTTAGTGCAGGGGTGGGGGAACTCCAGGCCTCAAGGGCCAGTGTCCTGCAGGTTTTAGGTGTGTCCTTGATCCAAAACAGCTGATCTAAACAGCTGAATTACCTCCTCAACATGTCTTGAAGTTCTCCAGAGGACTTGTAATGAAATAATCATTTGATTCAGGTGTGTTGACACAGGGTGATATCTAAAACCTGCAGGACAGCGGCCCTTGAGGCCTGGAGTTCCCCACCCCTGGTTTAGTGTTTGTGTCTTTTTTTTTTTGTTGTTGTTGTTATTGTGGGGTTTTTTTGTTGATGTTTTTTTCCCAAATAAGGAAACCTTTTTTAAAATAAGAATATTGTGTAATTTAAGTGTGGTAGGGTTAGGCCAGTAGGGGGTGGACATGGTCACAGGAAAAATTGCTGCCCGGCACTGAGTATTATCATGAAGACGGCTTACATTTGAGGGTGTCCCTAATAAGTGACATCAGTGGGCATGTTGGGGTGCTAGCAGTCTTTCTGGTTAATCTCCAGATGTTAAAACAAGGCCATAGAGGGCTTGGGTTTACAGACAGCTTAAGCTGTAATAGGGTCAGATTGAATGAATAATGCAAACCAACATCCCAGCTCTGCTGTCTATAAAATGCAGTAAGATACACAGACACAGACATAAATTTGGACCTAAACAGGCAATGATATACACTCAGCTTTGTATGCTGCCTGATCTTCCACTCAGTTTAAATAACACTCGTGCTGTTTTTCATGAGGATGCAATCTCAGTGTTATTGCTTCAGTACCAGACCTCACCCACATATTATAATTTACAGTAAACATACGTTCAGTAGTTTTTATATAGATTAGCCCTACTTACTGTAACCAATTTGGCACTGAGGAGCTATAATTATCTGGATATACTGTGTTTAAACTAACACATCGCAGGGTGAAGGGTACTAAAATGGGGGGGAAAAGGCATAAGATGAGGAAAGAATGCAAAGAACTTGACGAGATGTCCTCTGATACAGCACTCAGTGATGTTTCCTCTCACTTCCTTACTCAGTTTAAGAGTTACCACTGGAGCATAGTACCTTTTCTTATAGTCTGATAGGAACAGGGAGGCAAATGGAAAGCTTGTCTTTCATATCCACCATTTATTTCTGAAAGAGAAAAAACCCAAAACATTGAATGTTCACATGCGTGTTCGACCAAGCTGGCTAAAGTTTTGAAAATAGGTCAGTGTTGCAAGACCCGACTAGGGGGAATTAAAGCACAAACACAGACATACGCAAGGAGCAGCTGGGTTAATTTTGGTGCAACGTGATTCAGTGAACTGTTTATCTAGATACGACCTGAGTATGTAAAGTCAGTAATAAACACTCGCCTTCACAGAGTAACACGTAGACTCACTGCAAGGCTTTGTTAAAATGTTTTTGTGTGAACATTTGCCCCAGGGGATATTACAGCACTGCCTCGTGGGACCCCCCTGTATGGCCAACCGTCTTGGTGGGGGGATGGGGACGCAGATGATGAGAATTCTTTCAAACAGGAAAACAGGACATCCACAAAAAAGCATGACAGCTCCACCTCAGGTAGGAGGCTGTGAGATTTTGAATTATTTTACACTTTCAGAGATCAAACGCAAACATGTGCTTTCTTGGGTTATACACAGCAAGCATGTACAATGTGCATGTACAATGACAGTGTTACATTTTCAAAACATAGTTGTAAGAATGCCAAATGATTTCCACATATTATAATAAAGTTTGTGTAGTTGTGATTGGTTTGTAAAAGGTGTTTTTACTGTTAGCACTTGGTAACTGCTTTACAAATAGACATGACGTAGAAGTTCAATTTCATACTCTATAATAGGATGCACTTTCAGTAATTTAAATGAAGCTTCTATTTGCTTTAGTTCAAGCAAAAAATGTAAAATAAAAGTGTTTTACTGTTTGCAGTGTATAGTTACAGTGTACTGTGAATAGAAACTTTGCTGTTAAATAGCTAACACATTAAAGATGCTATGTTAAGTTGAATCAGTAGCTTAAGTCATCCTAATGTCCTCCAGCTCCGTTTAGTTGCTTTCTTTGTGTTGAAGGGGTGATGTCCAACTAGCCTGTGTTTTTGTATTTGTGACAGTCCAAGTGCACACAAAGGCCTTTTTCATAGCATGTATGTCTGTTTGCCTGCACTATGCGATTAGACAGTGACCATTGGACTGAGGGGGGAATAACGTTAACGAGAAGCCGATAGTCAGAGTAACAGGATTAGAGGAATAGTGGAACAGCTCAGTGATACAAAAAAATCAGTCTGTGCCAGGCTGGTTTAGTGTGGACCAGAAGGAGTGGGGGGAGGTTAACCAAACACAAAAAAAACACTGGAGCAGACTGAAGCATCCTCAAATCTCTCGTTACATCTGGATGGATAGTCTGGCAGCATCTTTGCCAGTCGGTAAAAGAAGACTGTTTTTTTGTGGGGTTTTTTTGATTGTTTGTTTTTTTTTTTGTTTTACCTCTTTTAACAGTCAGTTATAGGTGCTTTCTGTTCTCTACGATTCTCATCACTCTGTGGATTTTAGTGTTGTATTTTTGTGGTGAAGTGAGATTAGAAAAGCTTGTCAGTTTGGAGTAAATCTGCGAAAGTGTGAAGGGTTGATTTGAAACCAAACGGAAAAAAAACGTTTCCAGAAGATCAGCCAAATGGGGTTGGCTACTTCAGTTATGGAAGCGGGTGAGTAAAAGGCATTTACCCTCCCCAGCATCGGCTTTTAAAAGATGAATGTTGAAACGTTGGATTGTGCATATTTATCAGTATGTTATCAGTGGACATTTAATTTTAAGTGGTGTGGCTTTACCTCCATGTGTATTTCCTCTAATAGGTCATTTGTTTCAGATATGACAGTTAGGAGGAAGTGAAAGCGAGAAAGAGAGGTTTGGGGATAGGAAGCGATTCTGTTTGGTTGTGTGCTTTGTAGCATGTATGTGTACTTCAGTTAAATTTAGTGTGTGTCTTTTTATGTTTGCCTCTGAATAGGCTGTGCTGTCAGAGTCCCCTACCCTCCCCTCCTCATGTATTGTTGCTCAAGCTGATTGGGTTACACCATTGCACCAGCTCCCCCCTTTCCTCCCAACACACACACACACACACACACACACACACACACACACACACACACCAATGCACACACACACACACACACACACACACACACACACAGTGTCCAAACAGACCACACTAAGTTTACACTGCAGCAATCATTAGCCAACCACGCTCTAATTCTTTGGTAAGTATCACTTTCTCATCCATACACTTTGAGTAATGGAGCTGGTAAAATGCTTTCAGTTTGGGTCAGCTTTGTTATTTATCTAATATTTTACCTTGCACTTGATTACCAGCAGCTCATTGAAGAGCTGTCCGGTCAGTGAAATCTCTTCAACTCTCAAGTCTGTGAAATGAGAAGGGGTTTGGTGTTGTACTGTTAGGCCAACAGAAATGCTGGAACACATTCAGCAGTTAGTTTGAACCTAGTGGTTAAATAACATTAAAATTATTATTGGAGTTCTTTACTTTGCAGAAGTGACTAATGTAAGTGATTCTCAGATGACTTATGTTCACACTAACTCACTCCTTACATCAGTGGGATAGAGGAAGTTTTCTGAGTTCATCAGAATTTTAAAGGAAGAACTATTGCTGTTTATATTGTTTTGTCTCTTTTTAATACTTTGTTTTAACACCAGAAGGCCCTGAAAGGTAAGAGATCACAGAGAAGAAATGTGAACAGTGTAGCAGTACTGCTGTTTGAAAGTTGAACCATGTGTTCTGTCTTAGTTGAATGGTATTACCGTGTTCTCATAGTCATTGAATCTTAAGCATCACTGCACATATTTGATCTAAAGTACATCATATTTGCTCTCAGTCTTAATCTGTGTTGTAAATCTTTCCAAAACTGCTGAGCCGCTTACGCTGGCAGCCACTGATAGTTTCAAAAAGATTTTAAAAAATCAACTAAACTGAGCTGAGGGAAGTAAAGTGAAGTGGAAAGTGCAGCTTTTAACTAAGAGATTGTACCTTTTGGAATGTCCTGTTTTCTGTCCTAAGTCATTAAGCAGCTCTGTGATATATTTAAAATAAATATTTTATTAGAAATGTGTTCACTGTTGCTCACTCTTGTATTGTGCAGACAGTTTCTGTTTCTTGTTTCTTTTTGTCAATTGCCATATGTTCCTACGTTTGCTCCCCAACATGAAGCAGATGGCCCTTCTAATTTCTGAAAGTATCATTTGTCATATTCAGATCTCACAGAGGGTCTGTTTGCTAATACGGACAAATGAGAAAAAAAGTGCTCCATATTGCCAGTCCCCCGAAATCAGGTTTTAAAGAGCTATGCCAGCACTACTTCTTTTTTTTAGAGTGACAGAAAGTGAAAATGAGAAACAGAAAGTTGATGTGAAGAACAAACCCTGAGTGGATTGATCTGTGTCTTGAATGGCTTGATTTTCAATATTTTCGCTTTCATATCCTTAGTATTCATCTGTGTCGACTAAGTAATGTATTCCTGTGCTCCACATAGAAGCTGAGAATATGGAGTCTTTAGGCAACATACAAAATTTTTGGTAGCTTTGTGTTTTTCTTTTAAAAAGGATGTGTGCAGAGCAAAAGCACATTAGCTGGAACAGTGCTGTGCTGTGTCCACAAGCTGGTAACACAACACAACCCCAAAATATAATCTCACCATCTAATTTTGGCTAAGATTTTCACAGGTTGGTTGGGTGGTTGGGTGGTTTTATTTTAATCCACTGATGTCAAATATTTATTGCCTACCCAAATTTGATCTATTTTCTAATACATCTTTTGGTATTTTCTGAACTTAGAAAGCAAAGAGGCACATCGAGGGGAGAAAGCTAAAGAGGGTGGTCTTCATGCACCCACTGCCCATGATTCCAGTTACTTTGAGATTCCCACCATGGAGGGTCACATGGCCAGTAACGGCATCCATGAGATTCCTACCAAGGACACTGAGGGCACAGCCAGTCACATCACTACAGGTAAAGTGAAGTATATGTTTAATTCTTTTTGATATGTCTTGATAAAAGCAGGTGTATTTATGTTTTGTATTCTTCATGTTATTCATGTTGAACTTTTGAGAAATCTTTTATGGCACAAATAAGAGATCAATGAGTATCTAGTGCAGACAAAGTAGCAGTTATTCTGCTAGAGACACTGGCTTATTTGAGTATATTTTAGCAAATGTCCATGCACTACTGTATAATTACACAATCTGGTTATATGCATTTTTTCTTTTAGAAAAGTGCTTCAGTAGTAGCAAACTTATATTTAGTACTGACTGACACAGTAGTATGTCTGCTCCACAGCTCAAGGTCACGCCTCCTTTACCATAGAGTTTGACAACACGTCTCCAGGGAAAGTCACCATTAAAGACCACGTGTCAAAGTTCACGCCCGATCACCACAGATCTCGCTCCAAGAAGAGTGGAGCAGGAAGTGGAGGCGCAGGAGGAAGGGACTTGAGTACCCTACAGGCTGCTATGATGGCATCTGAGAGCAAAGTAGCTGATTGGCTAGCCCAGAATGACCCCACTCTTGTGCGCAGCGAGTCGACAGAGGATGACAGCAAGAGCAGCAAGAGCATCAAGAGCGATGTGCCAGTTCATCTGAAAAGACTGAAAGGTAGATTGCGTTTACTATTTGTATGTCTGTAGTTTGTGTGTTTTGTTGTGCCTCTTTTTGGTTTCCCTGATTATTTCTCCTTCCTCTAACAAAAGAATCCCATTTAGTCCCTGCAATAATCCTTATTTGTGAGTTATCAGTTAGTTCACCAGAAAAGTCATTCTAATTTCACTTTCTTAGTGTAATAGTACAATATTTAACACACTGTCATTTGCCATACTATGTGAAGTTGGAGTTGATTCTTTGCCAGAGGTTGTTGGCAGTGGTAGCCAAGCAGGGGAGATTAGCAGCTAGCAGAAAATACCATGCCTACTCCTCTGCTGCTGTATAGCTCAGCCCCTTTTTTCCTGTTTGCAGAAAAGAGTACTCATACTCACATGCATGCATAGAATACATCCTGCCATTTAAAGCCTGATTGCATGATCAGAAAAATGTTTTTCTTCTTTTGTGTTATGTGTGGGGTAAGGTTTGAAAAATACTATTGCTGTAGATTTCTTGGTTCTCTGTGTTTCTTTGTCCCCATTACCTGCAACCAGCTGCTGAGTCGGCTCCTGCTGCTATGGGTTTTTATGAGAATTGATTAAACCAAGCAAGGTTAAGCTTTGTGCTCTCTCCCTCTAAAGAGAGTTTAGGTTTGATGCTATGCTAGGCCATGCACATGTCTTGAGTCAATTAAATGAAGGCCAATTTATGATAGTGCTGGCATGTGCAAGGGAAGGGCCAGCAGATGCGAGCTGATGAAAATGGAAATCTATTAGCAGAAGTGAAAGGGAGAGAAGGTAATTCATTAGATGGAGTTAGTACAACACACATGTTAATTGGCTGTCAGAATGGCTCAGCTATGGGACTATTATTTTAATAAGAGTTTTGGGTTGCTGGACGCTGCAGTCTTTTCAAAATGTGGCTGAAGAGCAAGGAGATAGAGGGTAAGTGGACAGCTGGATGAAAAGCTATCTGCAGACAGGTACAGAGGGAAGGTAGGAAGAAGCAGGATGAGAGAGCAGTATTTGCAGTAACTGCAGCCAAGGTGACTAAACAAAGAGAAGCAAGACAGAGAGAGAGAGACAGAGAGACTTGTGTACACTGCAGTAGAAGCGGAAAGGGAGGCAGCAAAGGAAGGGAGCATTTTTTTTTTGAGTTAGTTGTTATAGTAACAGTGATGCAAATGATGGCAGGGAAGGCGAGCGTTCAGACATACATAGCAAGCACTAGTGCTGAACATCTGTCTGTGTGTCTGTGCGTGAAGGCTGCAGCGGCATGTGTGAGACATGCGTTTCAGTGCTGATGAGTTCGTGTGCGAAGCATGCGCTGCTTACACGTTCATTTGTGTTGCTGAAATTCGCCAGGTCTGCGTCTGCTGCATGTGTGTGCTGGAATCATGCTCTGCACTGATCTGCAGACAAGCAGTGCGGCATGTGTGAGAGGAGGCTTGTGAGATGTGCTCAGGGTGTGTCATAGAGGTGCTAGGCAGAGAGGGTGGCAGAGGTTCAGCAAGAAAATTGAGAAGAAGCAACTGAGGTTTTGATTTCTAACCATCAAGGTAAGTCTTTCTTTTCTCACTGTAGGAAATAGTCATGATATATTGCACATGATATATCTTTATACTGTTGGTTATTTAGAATATGAACTGCCATGTGTGTGCATGAAAATTTAAGTATTTCGTTGCACGCTTATCAGCATATTGCCAAATATGTGTGATTTGAGATGTTATTAAGAATACAAAATTCATTTTCTTATTAATGATGAGTGTTTCATGTGAATTGTAATTAATTTGCCCTAATAGTTAAAGCCTATCACATACTCAGGACTTTAAATTCAATTGCATGTGTTGTACTTGCAGTGTATCCTTACATACAGTACAATTCTGTGTATGTTTGAGGTTGTGTGTTTGCTTGCCTGCTTGTGTGAGTGTGTCTACATGTAAAGTAAGTACTTTCTTGTATCAAATGCTGAGCTTTGTATGTCTATGTGTCTGTTTACTTGTGCGTGTGTGTGCGTGTGCGGGCAGAGGCCAGCTCCACTGTGAGTCATAGTGGGGCGAGTGGGACAGAGCACTGGACTCTCACAGACATCTCTGTTCTCTTCTGGCCCTACCAAGGGCTTCTTTGTCTCGGACACACAGCATGAAAGACCTGCCTCTCGTTGTCTGCTTATCTGCTGATCTCTTCAAGCTACTGTTTTCTTTTTTTCTTCTTGTTAATGAAATAGATGCTTTAATAAATGCTTTAATAAACTACAGTTTGGAAAGATGGAACATTTCAAGGACGTGGCCGGTGGAATGTGACAAATGAGCCACAGACTCTGAATTATGCCCTAGGCAGCAGAATCATTGTGATATCCCAGTGTGGAAAAAGTACTTACAGGGGTACTCTGCAATTTAATATTGTACTTGAATGAAGGTTGGCGCCCTGTGAAAGGCAGATTTTTTTTTTTTTTTTTTTTAAAAGAGTGCCACAGTCTGGCTCATAAACTATAGCAAGGAATAAGACACAACTAGATGTAGAAACGTAGAAAAAATATGATCAACTTAAAAGAACTTGCATTTATCAAACAGTCAGCATTATAATGCATGCATGCGTGGCTGGCAGCATGCATGAAAAGTAAAATAATTAAATTAAAAGAGTTCACTGTAGCATAGCCAGTCAGTCTGCAGGAAGGAGGGAGCTGTTAAAGCTGGGCATACTGGGCCCAGGTGTAGCTCATCCAGCTATCCACCAAAGCACAACAAGACCAAAGCAAAACAGAGACACCTAGTGTTGGGATGGTATAGAGGTCATCTCAAAAGGTGTATTGCTGTTTAGATCTCCAGCTCTCACATTTTTTTAAACAGACTTTCTTAGACTTGACAAAACAAACAAAAGTAATAGATTCAAGTAGTAGAAGTAATTAGAAAACTAAAGCGTGTTATATGTGGAGCTTCTGTAAGTACACATGTCACTGTTGACATAAAGAATGCATTATACTGATACGGCACTAATGTTTACCGGTTTTCCAGTTTTAATTCAGTACTGTCCATAACTTGACTCTCAGTCCTGATTACAATGAAATAAATCTAGAAAGTTATAAGTGAAGTCACGTTTAGCATTAACAGATTCAAAGGAACAGTCTGTGCACAGTGAACCTGCCAAGCCATTGAAGACCACTCAGCCTGTATGCATCTTTTAGGCTCTTTGTCCTCTTTTCTCACAGAGGGCAGTTCAGTAGCACTACTTGCACATTGTGTCTGAAGTGAAAAACAGCCTAAAAACAAGCTTTTGGGGGCTGTATTATTTTGGAGAAAGTATTAACTATATCACAGAGCTTTGGGTTTATACAATGTGTGTGATCATGTGCAGCACCAGTCCTGTGGTGTTTCCTTCCCTTCGCTTCTCCCATATCCTGATGGACTGACTGCCAGCTAGTTAAATGCCAGTGACTGGTTAGGCCTTTGATTGTGTGACATTCTCTTAGCTCTAATGACAATACATTCCTTATCCTGAGCATTCTTCAGTCTCTGTTTTTTCCTTTTTGTCACACTTAATCCGTTTTCATTCCTTGCCCCTCCACCCTCCTCATTTTCCACATCCCCCAATCTTCCTCTCTGTTCACCCTTCCCTTTTCTTTCCCCTTTTACTTCCCCTCCTTCTTCAGCCTGAACCCCCTCTACACACATACACACGTACGCACACACTCTAGTCCAGCCTTCTTCTACTTCGCTTCCCTCTCCATGCTTTCCTCCTCCCCTCCCCCTCGCCTCTCTTGCTGTCAGTGAAGTAGGCAAGGATAGTGGTGGGTGTGGGTGGCATGTCTGGATTAGCGTGGACGTGATGATTTGACCCAGACTGATCCAAATGTAGAATAACTCGAGTAATGCGGTAGGTTGTGATTTTGGGGTCTGTTTTATCTGTTAAATGTTTGTGTCACAACTGAAAGTTCATAGTTCATTTAGACTACGAATGTGGTTTTAGGTGGATGTGGTTCTGTGTGCCTGGCTCTTGTTTTAACTGCTTGTTGTCAGAACGTGCCGCACATGCTGCTGTATGCACAGCATTGCTATATTGCATCTTTTTACATAAGCTGTAGTCTGTTGCTGTGGAATTATTCTGCATATATGTTGTGATGTAAATGTAAGATCTTTTGCTTGAGAATATGTGGACGGTCAATATAGTCAATTAAAATAATTCTTTTTTTTTCTTCTTTTTTTTTTTTTTGTCCCTTTAGGCAGCAAACATGAGGATGGCACCCAGAGCGACTCAGAGAATGGGCTGGGGCTGCGTTTTGCCAACAGACGCCATGCTTTAGAGGAACGCCTAAAAGCGTCACACAGCCACGTGGGAGCAGGAGGATCTGGAGAAACAGGAGGGGGCAACATAACAGTCAGTGGGACCAGAACAACTGGGACTCGTACTGCTTTTATGATCGAGTTCTATGATGAGGAAAATCCTCGCAAGCGCCGGTCATATTCATTTTCCCAGACCGCACCCCTGCTGGGAGCAGGAGTTGGTGGAGAGGGACTCTGTCCTCAGCCTCCTTCTCACCCCAAGGTGTTTAGCATTTCCACCTCGGCCACAACAGCCTCAGACTCAGGTAATAAAACTCAGATTTAATGTATTTTTACACTCTTTCTATGACCAGATTTTGTTTGTCTTTCCCAAAGTAAATGTTTAAAACTATACCCATTAAATATAATAAGATATACTGGGAGTTTAGCTATTTAAGTAAAGGAATGACACAAAGGCACTATTTATCCTCTGAAAAGCATTTTATGTATGTGTGACCATTATTTTTTTTAACAGCTGTATTTCTGTGCTCTGTGTGTGTACCTTTCAGGTAAGGTCCCAGCCCCAATACCAGCTACAGTGACTGTAGGTGCCCCTACAGCTGCCCGAGTGCTTCTTAAACAGAGGTCAGAGGACCCAAGTATTGGTCGGAGCTCGGCCAGTACCGGGCTGGCGACAGGTAGCCCCACCACCCCCAGTGAGGACACATCAATTGTGGGCAGAGGTGCAAGTACAGCTGGTGTGGAGGCAGAAGACGACCACAGTGATAAAGGTACCTACACCATCGAACTGGAAAACAAGAACCCGGAGGAAGAGGAGGCCAGGCGAATGATAGACAAGGTAGCGTGGAAACATGTCTGTTAATCTTTTTTCACCTGAGATGTGCTGTGTAAATAGTATACAATAAATTACAATAGTAAATTTAAATGTGGGTTATTTAAAGGACATTTGTTGCATTTTGTTGTTTGAGTCTTAATGTTTTATATTCTGATCCCTCCAAAGTCACAAGAAAACAAAAATTATGTGTGTTGTTGCTTTTCGTTTCCAAACTTTGACCATAAAAGTAGCAGTTAGAATGACAAGCATCATTTAAAGTCTCTCTGCAGTAACTACAGAAAGTAACTGAGCCAACATAAACAGGCCAGAGCAAGGTTAATAGTCTGTTTATTACCTGCTTCATTGGCAGTTTTAGGGGTAGTGAGTCCTATGAGAGTATTTGGCATTGTTGACATTAAAACAAAGCTTTCCCCTTTCTGTTGCCTTTTTTGACCACCACCCATCTTCTCTGTCCCATTGGTAAAGCTAATGCTTCTGTAGTTGCCTGGAGAGACTTACTCCATCAAGGACTGTCCTGCTTTATTAAACAATGCTCCAGGGAGGCTGCGCCACCATCATCAATTTCCTACTGCTGCCACTGGCCTTATGCCATAGAGCTTTTTCATGGTCACTGAAAACATACTGGAAATAGGCAAGAAATGCACTTAGAGAGATGACTGAGAGTTAAATTTACAGAGACAATTTTACTTGCTAAGGTTAGAAAGTTGTAGAAAGGAAAGTTAGCAACTCTAACATTTGTCACCTAACCGATTTAGAAGTTGGAATTGGCTGCACATAAACCTTTTTTAGGAAGTCAGGTTGTTGCTGTGGGTTATTAAATTACGAGGTTGTCACACAGGCCTGATTTTAACTTTACTAAATGACATCTTAGTGTGGCACTTGTCCCTTCTAGTGTTGCATGCAGGTGTTATCTTAGGAGGAGCTGTGATATAATTAGTGGGGTGTATTTCGAGGTAGTGGTAGTCTGGGCACATTACATTCAAAACTGGAAGTGTTGTTATGCTAATTCCTGTAATTAGCTGACACACTAATTGGCACACTGCTCACAGTCTGTCCGCCTTTCGCTCTCTTTTCCTTTGTAAATAGTGCATGTGTGTCTGTGTGTGTCTGTGTGTGTGTGTCTGTGTGATGTGTGACTGATATTTTTTTATGTCGCCATGGTACTCAACTAACCAGACCCAATTAATGCTTTATTTCAACAGCACTTACTTCTGTTTAGTTTACTTTTGTTCAGTAGGAGAACTGTTGAATGATATGTTTATAAAATATATTATGGAGGTATTTCATTTTCATTCCAAAGACTACCATTATTCTGTTGCATACAAAATGTGCATATTGTCTAAAGATTAACTGTACTTGAGCAAAATGTTTTTGTATTCTTCTTTTTTACATATTTTTAGGTGTTTGGTGTGCAGCAGAACAAAGACTCATCGATTCTGTCAGACCTGAAAGGAGAAGGAAAAGGAAAGGAGGCAGGACAGAGTGGAAAAGAGGTAGAAAACAGAACTTGAACTGGTTATTTGTTTTTGCTTTGTTACTTTTTTATGCCCCTTATAGTATTTTTCTTCCTTTTTCTGTCTTTGATTAGCTTTTTTATGTTCACCTATAGATTAGCATGTGTTGTTAAAGTACTGACAATAGCCTCTTAGTCCAGTGTCATATAACAGACTTAAGATTCATGACTAAGCTTCATATTGTGTGTCAGAATAACTCTGATGGCACTTACTCCCTAAGCCTGTTCGTGGGAGTAGGCAAGTCCTCCCTACGAGTGACCTAGATCATACTAAGATGAGGAGAGACATGCTCGGCCCTTTAGGCAGTTTTATAAGAGGGAGGGGACAGCGTGTGTGTGCATAGACAGCCTTTCTGTCTGTTCTTCTGTCTTTTATGCCCCCCTGTCTGGGTGATTTATATGTTTTTAAATAACACACAGAGCATATAGCAAACTCTTATTTTTTTAATATCAAATAAAAATGCAGTGAAATATCTTCATCCTTACAGTCTAACTCAGTTCTTTCATCATTTATTATACATTTGCTTTAGTGGCTTTTAGATATAGCGATTGTCATGATCTTCTGGGTATTTTTTGTGCCACCATTAAGTTAAGTGAGCTCTATTGTAATTTTCTCAATCCTGTTTTCTTCTCTGTTGTGTCCTCCCAGGCTCTCCCTGGTGATTCTAGCTGGGTCTCTCAGTGGGCCAGCATAGCAGCCAATCACACAAGAACCGACCCAGAGGGTTCAGGAGCAGAAACAGGCAGTTTCCTGCACAAAGAGAGAGGTAGATACTATTGGAAACTCAGTTTTTAAACACAATATGTTTTCATTTTTAAAATTTTTGATATGCTAATTATTTCAAAGTAGAACTAGGACTGAAAATCTTTTTTTTTTTTTTATTAAATTTAATGCAAACAAACGAAAAAAAAAAAGAAGAAAGAATCACAATTAAGTTGGTTTTTCTTCTAGGTGCTAATACTGTTGAGTCTGGTGCCTCCCTCAGCAGAGGCGAATCCTCGTCCAGTCTGACTGACCGTAAGCGTAGGACCCTCCCTCAGCTCCCTGTGGATGACTCCCGGGCTAAATCCGCTACCCAGACTCTGAGGTCAGAGATTGGGGAAAAGCAGGATACTGAACCTCAGGAGAAAGAGAACAAGGGAGACGGGGAGTCCCCGACTCCCATGGAGAACAGCGAAATGACTAGTAAACGGAAACAAAGTTCCACCTCCTCTCCATCTAAGGGTTCTCTCCGGACCTCTGGAAGCACTGAGAGGAGGAAGAAGTCAGAGGAGAGGAAAGGAGGAGCAGGAGGAGCAGGAGAAGGAAGCGAGAAGTCTGGAAAGCCTCTAGTCCGCCAGGGCAGTTTCACAATTGAGAAGCCCAGTGCCAGCGTCCCTGCTGAGCTCATCCCACGTATAAACAGAGGCTGCAATGGGCGTGAACGCAGTGATTCTGTAGGCAGCATGGATACTGCAACTCTCCTGAAGGACACTGAAGCTGTCATGGCTTTCCTAGAGGCCAAACTAAGAGATGAAAACAAACTAGATCAGAAAAGTAGTAAAGCTGGCATCACTGCTCAGGGTTCAAGTTCAGCCCTCCTCCCTCGGACTGACTCTATCTCTCCTGAGTCAGATGTGGACACAGCCAGCACAGCTAGTCATGTGGCTGAATCGGCAGATAAGAAAGCAGCAGCCAGTGTACAAAAACGGCGTTCCCTCAGCAGCATGCACCGGGAGAAAAGCAATATGAGCACAGCTTCCAAAACCAGCATCACAAATCCCAGTGCTCGTGAACGGTTGGAGAGAAAGACTAGAACCAGGCCAGTCGAGGCAACGAGCCGGACTGATGCACGTCGCTCTGTTCAGCCATCTTCTGCCTCCTCCAGAGCACGGCAGCCCTCTGCAGATCTCACTGATGACGACCAGACTTCATCCTTTCCCATCTCCGACATCCTCTCCTCAGACCAGGAGACCTACTCTGGACCTCTGGGGCACTCAACACACGGACGCGGCTCAGATGATGTCTTGCAATCCAAACTTGATAGGTCTGCAAAGACATCTGCCAGTGGTTCTTCCAAAACCAGCCGGACTCTTCATGCAGCCACAGCCTCCTCCTTGAGCAAGCAAGCCTCACTGCCTCAGCCGCGACCCACAAGAGCTTCTCTTCTCCGTCGTGCTCGACTGGGAGACACATCTGACACGGATCTAGCTGATGCAGACAGGGTGTCTGTGGCTTCTGAGGTGTCCACCACCAGCTCCACCTCAAAACCGCCATCGGGCCGGAAAGGGATGTCACGGCTGGATTTGCTGGCGCAGCCGCGAAGAAACCGTCTGGGCTCCATCTCAGCCCGCAGTGACTCTGAGTGTACAGTGAACCGAAGCTCCACCTCTTCACCCCGGCTATCATCTGAGACTGCTCTGCGTCTGGGCTTGCGCTCATCAACACCCACGGAGAACAAGCTGACACCCAGAATGAGAGCCAACAGCGTGTCCAAACTGAATGAAGCCAAAACCAAGACCACTACAGCGGGGTACTGCTCGCCCACAGGTGAATACATCTACTCCATCACTGTTGTCTGATTGATTCAGATTTTTTAGTTGCACAGAGAAAGGAAAAAGTAGAATTCTAGTTTTAGCTGTTCATTTTATTTTTGTTTTGACCTAATTATCAGTTTCTTTATAAAAAGTATGACAAAGTCTAATTACATCTACATCATTGCATACCTCACATGTCAGTGTGTAAACATCTGTGTCCAAACATTTCCACCGTGTTGTGATGATTTGGTGCATTGGTTTTCATTATCCAGAGAGCTTTCAACCCGAACCTCCAGGTGGTGATACAGAGGAGGAGCTAATGGGTACTGTACCAGGACTATAGAGCCTAACCAGACTGTGTGTGTGTGTGTGTCTAGTGTGTACAAGTGTGTGTCAGACCTGGGTCACAGGAATAGAAGGTTGAGCTCCACAGGATCTGAACTGTGTTACTGCAGCAACTCAGTTTTAAAAATGGCGCTGCTTGCATTTAAAAGTCAAATGAAAACAATGTATGTACGTTGAGTAGCTTCTTTGGCAAAAATTGCCACATACAAAAATGCAAAGGCTTAGTAAATCACCAGTAAATCAGTCAAAGTAAACTACAATGACCCAGCTCTAGCATATTTGTATTGTTAACGTCTCCTACCTAAAATCTGCTGTGATGAGGACTTGAATGCTCTTACGCTTGACTTTTCGTACTGCAAATCTGTAGTTTGGCCCTATATCCCATGCTACATGCAGCCTGAGGTGCACCTTTTCAGAGGTTTCCTAGTTCTGTTTTTGTAGTAGTATGTTGTACTGTATGTAATTATTAATTAGCACAAGGTTAAAACTGCCGTGATACAAATGTAACAGGATTTGTTTGTATCTAGATTGGTTACTGTGCTGATGCAGTAGCTAGATTTTTACAAGTTTACCATGTTTTTTAAATGTTTTTATAGATTCAGTGAATTCAATCATATTCAATTCCAATATGATCAGCCGAGTGTCACTCCTGATAACAAATCAATACAGTCGTATCAGCTCTGTAAAGTATACGAAATTTTTTATAGCAGGTATAAATGCTAACAGCGATGTATTCAACGCAGTATTAAAGATTAAGCTTCACTTCTCCAAAGATCTGATATTTGATCTCCAACTCTGTGATTATGTGGTCCTGGCTCCACCTTGTGGAGAATTTTCATGTAGAGCAGGGGTGTCGGACCACGTACAGTCCACTTTGTGGCAAAAAAAGAAATCTGTCAGCATGACTCTTTGCGCTTAAGTTATAAGACGTGCAGAATTACAGAAGTTGTTCTGGTAGGTCATTGCTCAGGCTGTCCCTTAATTTTAAAGCAAAAGGGTTTTTTTGACCATTTATTTTAGTCCTATTGTAAAAAAAAAAAAAAAAAAACCCTGAAAGTTTTATAGTTGATAGTGAAAAACATGGAAATTTTCTTTCATTTAACTGTTGAGCAAATACCTAATTACTTTGGTGTTGTTTATGCCTTCCTTTACTTGGTCCTGAATTAGTCTTTGCTGGGCTGATTCTAGCCCTCTGGCCTTATGTTTGACACCCCTGATCTAGACACTTCCACTCTGAGAAAACTGGAAGAGCACTCTGTGTCATCTCATCATGGCACAGTTACAGTACATTAATGGCTCTGGCGTGTGAACATTTTGAAGCAGGTTAACATATACTAACATGGCTCTAACAAGATTTGTTAACTTGTTGGATGCTTTTGTTGGCAGCATGGGCCGAGAGCTTTTCAATAAACTCAACTAGTGTTTCTTTTTTTGTTGTTGTTGCTTTTAATTATGTTTTTTTTTAACTCCAAACATTGCTGCATCAGTCCATACAACAACTAAACAAAGTTACAATAATGATAGTATTCCTGAAATACTTGGCACCACTAACGCTTCTTATTCTCCCATCGTTTTTTATTCAAGCTCGGCAAGGCAGTTCAGTTCAGTAATCAAGCTTATCGTCGTTGCCTTTGAGAAATATCTGTGTTTGTCAACAAACAAGGAAGCATCCATTCTCCTCTGCTTAACATTCATATTTTGTCGGATTAGAGCAGAATCGGCTGCTGGCTTCCTCAGAAACAAAGCGTCTCAACTTTACAAGCACATTTATCTGTTTTATGAATAACTGATATTGGAAATGAATAAATACAATATTTTTGACTGAAAGATGACATTTCTCATGCACTTCTATCATAGTGTCCAGCAGCAGCAGGTGGAGACGTCTGCCACCAGAGTATGGTTCCACCTCGGAGGAAGAGTTCGGCTCCAATCGCAATTCTCCGAAACGGCCCCACGTGCGATCTCATCACATCGTCCCACACCGCAACTCCAGACTCAGCGCCATTGTGAGCCCAGTTGGGGTGACGGGCCCAGGTGGAGTTGGGATCAAACACCGCATGAAAGAGCAAGAGGAGTACATCAGGGACTGGACAGCACACAGCGAGGAGATAGCCAGGTACTGATCCACACTGAGTGAAACTGAGCTTTAATGGTTTAACGGTTTTGTATATGCTGTTCTGTGTATGCAGGTTTCATGTGTTCATGTGGCTGTTTATCCCGAGTCCTAAAGAACCCCGTCTGATGGTTAACAGGTTATTCCCCTGTGTGCGCAGGATCAGCCAGGACCTGGCTAAGGACTTGGCCATCTTGGCTCGTGAAATCCACGATGTTGCCGGCGAGATTGACTCAGTCAGCTCATCCGGCACAGCACCCAGCACCACAGTCAGCACTGCTGCCACCACTCCAGGATCGGCCATTGACACTCGGGAAGAGGTAGGCCCTGCACGTCCCACGCAGCCGGATATACAGGACAGCATGAAAAAGGTGCCAATTTTCTTCTTCTTCTTGCCTTACTGCGTGTGTTTCCATTGCACTCTTCCATCTTAATGTTTTGCTTTCATTTAAAAAATGCCTCTCTGCTGCTTCTTAATCTCACCTGCTGTGTGGTATTCACATATTACAGTCCCATGCACTCCACTTTCATTTGTTTATCCTTATTTTGACCAAGAGAGTATTTTTTTTATTATTTTTCTACTATAAGACTAAAAACCGACTTTCTTTGGCTAAACAGTTAAAAAGCTTCAGAGCTGCTTAGCTTTTACTGATATTCTTCTTTCATTTCCCATGAATTCTCACATATTAACTATGTTAAACTAAAGTAGAACAACACCGAAGTTCTACTTTCGGTTCAAAACTTTGACATCCTTCTTCTCTCCCTGCTTCTTCTCTCCCCCTCTTTGCCTAGTTGGTTGATCGGGTGTTTGATGAGAGCCTCAACTTCAGGAAGATCCCACCTGTGATTTCAACTAGTAAGCCACCAGAGATAAACGGTAAACCAGCAGAGCTCCGGCCCCGTGCTCCTGACAACTTGGAGCCTCGAGCTTTAAGAAGACGCACCTGGAATAGAGAGGAGGTGAGAGGCAAACAAGAACATATGACACCAAATTTCTGCTGCATTGCATTCAGCAGTCAGCTTAACAGTCAGTTTCTTCTTCTGTGTGCATGCAGGCCGTGTTAGACAGCCTGCTGCTCCATTCAGTTTCCCAGCTGTCCACCAAGATCAGGCACTCCATTGACAAAACAGCAGGAAAAATAAGGTGATTATACTTGTTGATATAAGTACCATTAGCATTTAACACCATATCTACAGTGCCTAACTCTAACCCATTGATCCTGAATACAAACGTGACCTGTTGTACAATGTTTGCTTCCAGGATTTTGTTTAAGGATAAGGACAGGAACTGGGATGAAATTGAGAGTAAACTAAGATCAGAGAGTGAAGTACCACTCCTTAAAACTTCCAACAAGGTGCGTAAATTCATCTGTCTGAATCATATCGAGTGATAAAGAATTCCCAGTGTTAAGTGAATCCAATCGTTTTACTTCCTAATCATTTTATTTCCACCCTCCATTCACAGGAAATTTCTGGTATTCTGCTTGAACTGAAGAGAGTCGAAAAGCAGCTTCAAGGTAAATTATAAATGTGAACTCGCTCAGAGTCGTAGACATTTTCCTGCATCTCCACTCTGTTTATTTGTATTTTAAAGTTGAGAAGCACCTTAATACTAAGGGAAAAGAAATAAAAATGATGGATTTCTTTCAAATGCTAAAAATTCATCATCCTCCAAAATGGGACGGACACATATGTAGGAAACGGAGGTGTCAGAAAGAGCTCGTGAGCTGATTCTCTGCAAATCTGAAATGTTTTTCTTTTTCTATACTTGTGAATGTGGCTTTTAAAGCAAGACCAGATCAAAAACTATATTTTACAATAGAAAATATACACTGGCTTTTACATGAAGCCTTTCACACACTGACCCTCTTTCTATTTCTGTGATAGTGATCAATGTGATGGTAGACCCAGATGGGACTCTGGATGCCTTGGCCAGCCTCAGCCTGACCAGCCCCACAACCCCTACAAAGCCCCAAGCCGCCAAATCAACTCCCACCTCTGCTACCAGCCCTGGGTCGGCACCCCCAGCCAAAGAATCACTGCCGGAGATACTTCCAGGGTCTGGAGGTTCAGCAGCAGCCTCCGCCAGGGTTCAGACTTCTTCTGCCAGCACGGAGGAGAAAGCACACGACACCAGCATGGGTTTGGGTAAATCGGCAGTCGGAGGTCTTAGCTTCAGCCGGATCCGGCCGAGCGGAGAGGAGGCCATCGCCCAGAAGTAAAGTTTGGTTTATGTGAACAACAAATGGATTGGAGTGCCAGCGGCTGGTGATCCATGTAGAAACATTCAAACTGTTTTGTTTGTTTATTTGTTTATGACAGAACAATGGCCATTCTGAGACTATACCAGTCTAGGATTATAGCATAATATAAAAAAAAAAAAGATCTCCTCACCAATTGAAGTGCTTCATCTGACGTTTAGACTCCCCCCTCTGACCCTCAGCTGATACATCATGAGTTAACCATGAACAGAAATTGACCCGTGAATGAAAGACTGACATTTCAACTTTGAACTGTTCAAGCTGGCCGGCTGACATGACGGTCCCGGTCGGGTGCTCTCTCAGTGGACAGATTTCTGTGGGCGTACAGTCTCCTCCAGTCCTCTTGCCTTCTCCGTGTGTCTGGACCCCTTCTACACTAAGGACATGCCTTAAAACATAACCTCCATAGTAGCAGCATGACCCCGTATCCCTTCTACTTCAAAGACTTTTAACACTTTCATGACAGACTGCATTGTAACATAACACTTGCAAAACATGTTCTATTTACACTAGAACAAAATACAACACCCTGCAATAATTTATTAGCTCCACGCCAGTGCAAAGAATATTTCAGCAGCCTTAAATAACCACCCCGACAAACCACAGTCATAAATAGACATGCTTTATGCCAGGAACTGCCAAATTGCAGATGTTTTATATATTTCCGAATTGTAACCGTCCATCGAGCCGTCTCTCAAACTGATTTGCAGTGCCTCCCCATCTGTCGGTTCACCTATTTCTTGTTCGCCTGTTATGTTCCCCTCTGTCCTCCCCATTTTTTCCTCCTTGTAGCTGGAAACATGTTTGTCAGAGCAGTAGCACATGCATGAGAGAGCCGAGTGTTTTCTCCCTGCAAGCTAGCGCCTGGGTTGCTCTCAACAATACTGAATAGTGGTTTTACTCAGTAGTAACAGCCTAAGGGAAACCAATGATAATCACTTACCAAAGCGAGTATGTTTTCAAACGGTAAAAAGTCACCAACTGATATTGCAGTTCATCTTAACGTGATCTGGTCTGCAGTTCACCCACCTCTCTGAATGTCAAAACCCAGTCTCTGTTAGCAAATCAAGGATTCAAGAAGATTATTTATTATAACGAATCATTATTTTAATAATTGCAAACAGATATTTCTGGCCCCTGTGAGAATCTATGCCTAAGTGTCTTTATGATTTCCAATTGGCTTTTTCTCCGCTTTGTTTTTTCAAGTCACAGATTGACTTCTGTTTCAAATAGCAACAAAGAAGGTCACTGTTTAAACCACTGTTTTATATTTAGACGCTTTTTTTATGATTTGACTTGTTCGTTTTCTTTGTGCATACAAAATCTGAACTTGAAAAAAGCTGCTGGGTTAGTTTCAATTAATGTGCTGTCAAAACAATATGGGCACCTCACAAGAAGCCTTTTTATGGTTTAAAATATCGAGTCGTTGAATTGATTAGATAATTACAAAATAAGCTCCCCGTCTGTGAAGATTTAATGAATTTTGCTTGTGTATATACAGAAGGTGCATTGTTATCTTACTGATACTGTGGAATTTCAGTATAATTAACCTCTTACTCATTGACTTTGCTGCTTTTGTAGTTACTTTATGGGGACTAACCATTTTCTGAATCTCTCTCCAGCTTATAGTCTGTGTACTAGAATAAGACAACTTAAAGGCAAGTTTATTAGTACTTAGATGCTCATGGAATAGTGAATTAGGTACCACAATACATGTTCATTTCCTTCTCTATACCGTACTGTACAATGTTTTTCAATGCCTCAAAGTGCCCGTTTTGAAGCTGAGGGGCATTGATTACAAGAAGAAAAAAAGACGTAGTCGTCTAAAGAAGATTTATCTGGTTTTGCACATCAGATTGTGGTGTTTTTTCATGCAGAAGTAGTCAAAGGCTGCATCAGATGAGCGATATCACTTAGCCTGATATCAGACGTGACTGCCTTGCCTCTCTGGAACTATTCTGCCTGTACAAAAAAGAAGAAGAAGAAGAAGAAGCCTCTAATTGTGTTTTTATTTTTTATTTTCTCCCATTTTATCAGAAAAAATAGAAATTGGGGGACTGTGAATGCTAGGTACAGGCTTATTTTTTAAAACTCTACATGTGTCATCTGCTCAGTGTTCTTTGTATTTTTTTTCTTGTTATTTTTGTAAAGAAAAAAAACCCATTTTATTTATTTTAATTTTTTTTGTTTTAATATGTTGTGGATGTTTCATGCATTTTATATTTGTTCAGTTATCTGCATTGGTTCTTACTGTTAATAAAAAAAGAGCCATACACTTGTCTGTCCAATTTCATTTGACTAGGCAGGGGAAGAAAAAAAACACTCACCAGTCACTACATTAGGTACACCTTGCTAGTACTGCACTTTTGCCTTCAAAACAAGGTGCTGGAAACAATTCTCAGAGATTTGAACTCATTGTGAACCCATTTTCATGATCAAGAAACTGGTTTGAGTTTTGTGACAGGATGAGTTATCTTACTGGAAGCGGCCATCGGGAGATGGGCACACTGTGGTGACACAGGGATGTCAGATGCAGTCATCAACAATGTTCAGGCAGGCTGTGATGTCAAGAAAATATCCCCCACATCATTACACCAACACAAGCCCAAAACAATACAAGGCACATTCTTATGTTTACTGCAAATTCTGATCATTGGTTGTAATGAGAAACTACTTGACTTAATATTGTTTTCCTATCAGCTTGAAGCAATCCGGCATTTCTCCACTGACTTCTGACATAAAAAAGGGATTTTCACCCAGAGAACTCCCACCGCTGGATATTGTTTTTGGATCATTCTCTGTAAACCTTAGAGATGGTTGTGGTTATGTGGGGAAAATCCCAGTAGATCAGCAGTTTTTTTTGAAATACTCAGAAAAGCCCATGTGGCACCAAATGCCATCTTCGAAGTCACTTAAATCACCTTTATTCCCCATTCTGATTCACACCTTGATCGTGTGAGTGTATATAAACAAGTCCCTTTTTAACATAAACCTGGCTTATCCCACACTCTTAACCACAAAGAACAGGAAATGCATCTCCAGTAACAACTGAGAAACATCCCATGACTGTTGGAAGGTGAGCCAAGGAAGCCTGGAACTCAAAAAGTGATGTGACAAAAAACAGGAAAGAAAAAACAGGTTGTTATTAAAGGATTAAACTCTAACTTGCTTTTATCCTCATTGTATTTACATTTGGAGCTCATGCTCATGCTTCAGCCGTTTTAGTAACCCGTCTCAAATATCCCACTTTTACTTTTTGGGGTTTAGTTAACCTGCATAACCTGCACAGAAGTAACGTGAGCACTGCAGATTAATGAGGAACCTGTTCTTATTCCTCCTTAAAAAAGGAACTCCTTTACAGTCAGTTGAACTATCATTTTTACTGAGTAGAATTGCCATTAATAGTGCGTCAACTGAAAATGCAAATGATACAACTACTCGCTTTGTGATGCCTGAACAGTTAGACATTTGCATGTTCAGCTGTTGTAATCTACAAGAACTATATTCAAACTACAATACATCAGTTTTTTTTACATGGTACCTGGCATCTAATTCTATTTAATTGATGTAGGAGGTTATACAATTTATCCCACTAATAAATTCAGAATTCTCACATCTCTCCTGAGACTTGTCAGGTTTGTGGCTGGGGCCTGAATAAGTGCAGTGCTGAGGTCATTTGGATGGGTACCTCTTATATTTTGGCTAAAAGTTGTTCTCTTATTAATGGATTCCCAAGCCTCTTACCCCTAATATTAATCTTACAACCAAGCTCCAAACACTAAACATAACACAAAATGATTTTCTTAACCTTGAAACCAGTGAGGGCACGCTTTATTTTGGCCCAAAGATATAATCACTCTATTGATCTAAAACTCAGACTGGTTCTCATATTTTTATTTTTTCCCTTGGTTTTCTTGTGACAGATGACTTTACTCATGTTGTCTAGGAAAGTGGTTTATAAGAAAGCTGAAACCCACACTAACTGTCCCACAGTCCCATTTTGAGCAGGAACGATCCCTCATCCTTTCAGCTGCACTCCTTTCAACCACAAGAGCTACAGTTGTGGTCAGGTTTGCATACACTCATCATGGGCGTCATCATTTATAATGATTTCTTTGAATTGTTTTTTGTTTTTCCCAGGGTGGAGCGATTGTACAGCATACATCTTTAATGACTTTAAAGAACAAGAATTGGATGCACGAGTCCACACAGGGTCAAAAGTATACACAGAAGCTCAAATACGCTCCCGCTAATTTGTGGACAAATGTCCCTTAGCAACTTGAACCTTGGCTAGGTGCTTCTGGCAGCCATTAATAAGCTTCTGGCATAATTCCAGCCAGATATTTGACCACTCTTGGGTAAATTTGGTGATTTCCTGACACAGACTGGGCTTATAAGTGTAGACTTCAGAAAGCCATTTCAGAAGTGTAATGTTAGCCCATAAAATCCATTTAAAAAACCAGTTTGGGATCATTCTCCTGTTGGAAAACCTGTCCAACCTTCTACCTATTGATTTAAGGTGAAGAGCTCCAAACCATGATGCTACCACCACCATGCTTGACTGGTACAGTACTCTTAAGTTTAAAAGGCTCACCTTTACTCCTCCAAACACACCTTTTGTCATTGTGGCCACATATCTTAATCTTTGTCTCATCTGACTATAAAACATTTCTCCAGAAGGTATTTGGCTTGTCCATGTGGGCAGCTGCGTATTTCAGTTGAGCTTGAAGGTGTCAATTTTGATGCAGGGGCTTTTTACTTGATCAGCATCCTCTCAAGACAGTAGTACTGGTGTTCCAGTAATTTCCAGTTTATGGAAGACCTGGGTCCAATCTAATGAGTGCTGTAAAACAATTCCTTTAATGCTGGCAAAGACAAACAACTGGTTGTAATCAGTCATGATCACTTTGGAGTCTTAGCATTAACAAGTTAAAGGACAGTGCAGAACCTTCAGCACCACTTTAGGATTGTGTATGTATAGATTTGAGCCTGTCAGTACAGTTTTGACTGTGTAGATTAGAGAAAATCCGGTATGCTGTACAATCATTCAATCCCTGGAAAAAGAACAATACAAAGGAATCATTAAGTTACCATCATGACTATATGCAGACTTCTGACCGCAATTGCTCGTCTTTCAGTTAAAGGCTTGTAAATGACATTACTGCTAACCCCACTGAAGAACACGATCAAGCTTTCTATTAAAAAAAAATGTCCGGTTTAAGAATAAAGACAAGAGAGCACGAGTGGTGTTGTGATGTGCCTTTTATTTCCACGGATATATTTTGGCTCGATCAGATTTAACAGCACTGGTAATCAGACAACAGATGTGAACATGCATGGCTGGATGGTGGGTGCTGGAAGCTGAGTGTTAGCCAGGGGGCCACCCCATGCTGCGCCCACCGAGAACGTGGATGTGGATGTGGTACACCGACTGGCCTCCGTCCGGCCCATCATTGATGATAATCCTGTAGCCTTTGGACAGGCCGGCATCTTGAGCACACTTCTTTGCAACAATCAGCATGTGGCCCAACAACTAAGAGACACACAGCAAATATGAGTTGAAAATACACCCTGCATTAAAGTATTAAAAAGGCAAATAGTTCCCCCTAGTGGTCACTGATAGAAATATGCCAGGGAAATGATTGTGTGAGATTGTTTATAGTTTTTTTCACAAGCAAAAGTCATTACAATGATACTTACCGCAGCATCATCATCCTCGGCTTGAGAGAGCTGAACAATTGGCTTTTTTGGGACGACTAGGATGTGAGTGGGAGCCTGAGGTGAGACATCAGGGAAGGCTACACACTGAGAGCCAAAGCAAGAAATTAGAAAACAGAATTAGACTGTGCACAATCAAAATTGGAAATAACTGAAAGTTAGCTGAAAACAAAAAATAAAAATATCATTAAAAAAAAATGATAATAACTTCAGTCTTAACAGTACTTACATAGTTTTATGTATTTATGCACACCCCAGTATTTGGAGTTAAACACATTAAGGCTCAAAAATCTCAAAAATCATAGTCATGAATATTTGGTCAATACTGAAAATTTTAAACACACATTTTGGAAAAACAGATTTATTAAACTTAAAAAAAAAAAAAACAGGAATAAAATTGTATTTTTTAGGCTAATTTCCATCAACTCTAATTGTAATTTCAGCTCTAAAGGAGATGATCATGAGTCACTCATTTTCTTCACCACAGCAGATAACCTGCCTCCACCCTATTCCAAGCATCCTCCTCTGTCACACCAACCCTCTGCATGTTCTTCTTTATTAAATCTCATTTCTGTACCTCCTCATCACTCCCAATGAAAAACCTCATCTGCACCTCTAGCTCTGCTTCCTGCCTTTTTGTCAGTGCCACTGTCTACGAACACTTCATCACAGCAGGCCTCACAATCATCTTGTAAACCTTCCCTTTCAATCTTGCTGCTATCTTTCTGTCACAAATATCTGAAACACATCAAAGAAAGCAGAATGGGGCACAACAACAAATGTATGTCGGCTTCGACAAAATTGCAACTAAAATTCAACTAGTGGCACAACCCAAGCCTTAATGTGACACAATGTTTACATGTTTTTGTTGCAGTTAAGGCGTACAAAAATGTGGAATCTGTAAATATGACAGATATAAATTATCTGGAGTTATCAACTATAGCTCATTACACTGGGAACACAAAGCAGTTCAAAAACTTAGAAATAAAAATAAATATTGCTTTTTTAACGCTCTGATTCCCCATTTCACTAATGTCTGCTGCAAATCACTTGATGTTGCTTGGTTGCTTTATTGTAGGAACCTCACCTTTTAATTTTCCTTGTCTTGCTCTAGCCCACAGCGGCTACATGTTTAACAGCACTGGAGTGAACCCTGTCACTTCTTGGTGCAAAGCCAACTGTCTGTAACTTCAGACGCTGTGTTGCAGCAAATATGACAAGAGCAACGACACAAGATGGCATGCAGAACGAAACCAAAAGCGTGCACAAGAAGCCTGTCGAAATATTTTATAATCTTGCAGATTCTTCAGATTCTTCTGCAGCATTTTTAAATGCAAGTAGGCACGAAAAAATAGCGTTTCTGCAACGCTGAGTTAGCATTAGCTGAACGCCTCCTGCAGACAGTTGCGGAGCCACGATGAGAAACATTCAGACTTTAAACGTCCTCGTGAATCAAAGTGATGAACGCATACCTGATCGTCTTCATAGATTAGTTTGGCAGGAATCTCTTTGCGTACAATTTTTCCAAATATCGTATCTCCGCCCGGCTTGGCGGTC